GAGCTGCTAGAGCTGCTAGAGCTGCTAGAGCTGCTAGAGCTGCTAGAGCTGCTGGAGCTGGAGCTGCTGGAGCTGGAGCTGCTGCTGCTGCTGCTGTTCATTCATCGGTATTTGTGGAATGTTGTCCCCAAACGATCACAAATCATTGGGCCCCTCTATTTCTTCTAAACTGGGGATTTCTAAGGGTGGCAGAACTTTCATAGGGCCTGGCCTGAGGCTCTCCAACACTGAATTTGGTAATTGGTCCCTACGAAAGCTTTCCCTATTTCCTCGTAAAATACATTAGCTCCCATTGACGGGATCTACAACCTGCCAATCCCTTATTTGTCGTTCGACCACAATGCTGTTTTTCGCCGTTTTCGAGCCTTGTTTATAAAAGTGCTGATCATTTTATTGATGTTTCTAGTTCAGTTTTTTACCAGGAATCCGAAAAAACCACTCCCCATTTTTTGCTCTTTGTGGAACTCGAGATATCTCGAGATTTAGCCTCAAAAATGCTGTTTTTCGCCGTTTTCGAGCCTTGTTTATAAAAGTGCCGATCGTTTTATTGATATGTCTCAGCGCGCGGCGCCCTTGCACTGGGTACAAACACCCGCTACAAACACCCGCTACAAACACCCGCGCCCGAGGTCCAGCGCGCGGTATTTCCACCTACAAAGAAGAAAAATATGTAAAGATCTATCACGCGCGCGCGCGCGCGCACACACACACACACCCACACACACACACCCGCACCCATCTTCACCCGCACACTCACAAAACTTTATCATCGCACTTAACGGGCTGTTTGATTGGGCCTTAGGGGGCGGTACCGCCTCCTCTGTTGGCGCCAGGGGCTGCGCTGGGGGCAGCGGTGGCGGTGTTGACGGCAGAGGCTGCGCTAACGGCGAGCTGACCTCGCACAGGCGCCGCGGCGGCGAGGGGGTGCACACTGCAGCGGGAGGCGCCACTGCCGGTGGCGATGCGGTGGTGCTACTGCTGCTGCTACTGTTGTTGCTCGCGGTGCTGCTGGAGTCCGAAGCAGCGCTCCTTGCGCAGTCGGGGGTACTTGGGCTTGCCACATCGGCTGAGGCCTCGACGCCGGGCGTACGGCCCGCTACCCGCACGGGGGTCGGGGGTGTCACCCCAGTAACAGTAACAGTAATACCCGAGCAGCGCGTAATCACTGACGTCCGCAAAGATGTCCATCGCGCTCGGAGGCTGACTACAAACTGACGCTCTGACCGGGCACGCGTGCGTGTTATGTTTGTTTTTTTTAACGAAAATACCGAAAAATGGAGAGAGCGGAGTTTCTGTTTTCAAACTCTTCCATGAGGTGC